CATGGCCAGAAATTCCGGACATTTGAGCCCGGGACGAGTCAGCGGGTTTTCCCACCAAAATAGAGCTTTTTACAAGTTCCCTTGAGGTTTGAAGATCAAATTTTCTACTCTTATGCAACGATCCTTTATCTTAATACAATACTGGGCTAAAATCGAAACGTTCAAAACATCGACAAACGAGTATTGGGATAGCACGCTCTGATCCTTGAGTTCATTAGTGCCTTGTAAGGTGGTCGTTTGGAATGTTCATAGTGTAAATAATATTGTTTGCTGGAACACACGTTTCCCTTGGGTATTTTAAACAATGATCATCAGTTGATATTGTGATCTTTTGTTTATACTTGTACATTTGTAAGGAATTTAAAAGGTCTGACATTGTTTACACTAAATAGCGTAGACTTGATCTTTCGTTCGTATTTCCCGCTATTTACCACTGCGCGCAAGGCGCCAGTAAAAACCGCCAAAATTAAAGTAGTCCTAGTCTGAAAGCCACGTTTCTAAGGTTTATTTTGGTACCAAACATGGCGTATAAAATGAAAAGAAAATGGAAGATCGAGGCCAATTATTCGCGTGAAACACGCGTCTTCGCCAGCCATTTCACCGTCAAGTTAGTTTTTGTACGATTTCTAGTACCAAAATGGACGCTGTTGATCGTCTTCAAAATAGCTGAAAATCGCTGTGTTCCTACTTCAATATGTGGACTTTGAGAAATGATCTATGGAATATCAGTGAAATGTAAAGGAGCACGATCAGCCACGGTGAAATTTCGCTTCTTCGCGAATTTTCACCATGAGATACAAGGCCAAAGGGAGACGACGAAAGGAAAATATATTGTCAAAAAGGACGCTGTTAACAATATTGGATTTATTTGGATTTCCTACAGTGGAATCAAGAATAGTTTCCCTTTACGAATCCATCTATGGAATTTTTCCAATTAAAACAGATGAAATGTTATTCTCAAATATATTTTTTGATCCATACATTTCTTTGTAAAATTTACATTCATTTTGCATTTATGCGAATTACCGCTGCGATTGCGGGCTCAAATGTCCGGATTTTCTGGCCATGGTTACGACGACCCGACGACCCGAAGCAAGAAAAAGACGGAAGAAGTGGCTCAACTTTGTCAAAATCAAGCGTGCCAAATGCACAAGACGAATAAACCATACCGCTATATATTTATTGAGAAATGTCAAGAGCCTGGCGTGAACTCAGTTTACTAGTRATAGGGCTGGAATTTCAGCAAATTCTTTTGGCCTCGGCACAAAATACGCAAAACACAAGACAGCCATTAGTCATTTGAGGCAAAGTTCTCTATGCCCGCGGCAGTCTAAACTTCTCGTAATCGAGAAAATGAAATAAGTACGATAAGGCAAACACATGACTGAAAATATTCTTCCTTTCAAGCGCTTTTCTAATTTCATGAAATGAAACGACTACGAATCCAGAAATGAACACTCTTTCGTTCTTGAAACATATTAAGCGCTTTCCAAGCGATCCAGAAGCAAAGCGTAGAGTTTTAGTTGTTTTCAGTTCAAAATTATGAGTGCCGGGCATCGTATTTCCCCGATTTTGAAACCGCCGATCAAGCTCAGCGCTTGACATTTCTCTGCAAAGGAAGAATATTTTCATGTCTGTAATCGTGGTTGTTTTATATTTCATTTTCTCGAGAAATTCAGACTGCCGTGTACTTGTACATAGTCTTTCGCGAGGTAAAAATTTCGAAGTGCCTCAAATGACTATTTCGTATTCTGTGCCGAGGACAAGGAATTTGCTGAAATTCAAATCTACTGAGTTCACGGCAAGCGCTTGACAATTCTCAGTGAATATAAAACGGTTTGATACATTCAATCTTAGCGGTTTTATTGATTTTTGTGAGAAAAATAGACTTTTATAAGGCATTTAGTCTTTTGCGACCGAACTTATGGCCTGGGATGACGTCACAAGAGTCGTGCCAGTCCCCGCTCGGACAAAAGAATTTGACGCACTTACTGGGTGATTGATTTGCGACCAGGCCTGCATATGAATTCGCCAAGGTTGTAAGCCAGTGAGCCCGTGCATTTTTGTTAAGCGGTCATATTTGAAAGTGTAAATAAAGGAAAGGGAAAACCCGCAGCTCTCTATTCACTCAGATAAACAGTACAAGTCGTGTTAAATTTATTTACATAACTAAACAAAATGATTATAGAATTAAACCTTTAAGAATTGAATGCTCATATCAAATATTTTCCACCTTAAATACACACGTGTTTTTCAGAAGGGAATTTAGTCGAACTTTTTTCACGATGGAATTTTGTTTTGAGTCGTTTCAACATAAACAGTCGCTATCAAGACATTACGTGAAAAACCCCAGTCACCGTACTAGCTCTCGTTGTAAGGTCAAAGCTAGTAAATGTGTAACTGGCCTGTTACATAACGTCAACCTGTTGTATCGTCGAGCACGCTTGCGGCTTATTGCCGAAAATGCGACAAAGGATGAACTACGACTGTTGTCACTACCAAAAATAACAAACGCTTTAACTCTATTGGAAATAAGTGGAGCTAAGCTGCTCTAGCTCTTTCAGTGATGTTGTAGATACCTCAAAGCTTAGAGGAAACAAGAGCTAAGAAAAAGGATTTGCAATGGTTCCTCCTAAGATACTTTGGACTTGAACTTCGCTTCAACGACCTTCTGAAGTCTTCGTGAAGTCGTCCATTGCTTCGCATGCAATGGAGAACCCGCGTAGAACACAGACCAATTATTTTTATCAGGGAGGGGAGGCTCTTGGTATTAAAGAAAACATTATTTATTATTTAATTTTTAAGATAAAATTCTATTTCTATAACAATAAATATTTGATTGACATTTAATAAAAGCTATTTTATAAAGATTTTCAATTTCTCTTTGCGTTTTAGCTTTGATTTTTCGGATAGAATAAAATGGCAGGCAGCCTACTCCACTGGGTCGAGTTTTGCTGTGCAAATTCCTCCCGTCGGGGGGTTATGTTTACAACATAAGCTTGTCAGCTTTGCGCTGATTGGCTAGTCGCATTTTCTCAAATCACCCAGTAATTTTTGCTATATTTTTCCGATTTCGTCCCAACCGTGTGCAAAATAATCACTTTCACAGAAAGTCTTACAAGGTTCATAAAAATTGTTTAAGATAATAAAAAAAAATCGTGAAGGTGCACTTTAACTTATTACTACAACCAAGTTGCGGATTTGTAGATCAAAAGTGAATCTGTCCTGCTATATGGTGCAGAAACTAGGAGAATGCCAAAGAGATCAAGACCTTTGTTAAGACTTGTTTAAGGTGGCTTCCTAAAGTATTTTTTCGACCATACCTCTCCTTTTAAATTTGCTTTTTGAAAATATTGCCATGCACCGATTAAATTGGTGTTTGGACCAGTATAAAACATTG